AGTATGTGTTTGGAAGAGAGAAGAAGGGGGTGTCATTACGCTTTGCTTAAGTGACAAGATAGGTGTTTACAGACTGATATGAATACCAGCGCTGTGGCTTCTGCTTGTTTAAAAAGAAACAAAAGCACCAGCTGATTGTGTTGCCTCCTCACATTTTCTTTGAGTTACTCACTACTGAAGTGGAGGTCTGATGTATATCCTAAGAATGAAGAAGTAATAGAAGTGAGTAGAGAATAGGTAGAAAGCACTGAATAGATGAAGGAATATCAATTTTATAAAATTTTTCTATATATTCAATGTCAGAAAAACTATATAGTATAAATTTTAAGTGATATTTGTGGTATTTTAACAGATGAACTAATAAAAACAAATTTTAATATGAAATAACACAGAATACAATCTAATTTTATTTAATGTATTCCTATAATCATTTTACATCTGTATTTAAATAACTGAGGGAAGGAGAGCTGATGCTATCTAGACTTAGATACATATGTACAGATCTGCACTCTTGGGATACGAAATCTTCTCAATCCTCATAAATCATACTTTTTTCCTGATAAATTTAGAGAATACAGTCACATTCTACCAGTCTCTTGAGGTAAACTGAAGAAAACTGTAGACTACTTAATGATTCCCTGCCACTCAGGTCATGTTAACATAAAACATTTCAAAAGCATCACAAGGGATATATCTTCACAAATCATCACATAACTAACATGCCTAGCAAGTTAATATAATTTCTTGGGTTTTATCCTATTTTTCCTCCCCAATTCCATTTAATAATTAAGTATGCAATATTTCTTCTTAAAGTTAAACTTAATCAGAAAAATTTGAAGTGAGGCATTACACTGCTCAGCAGTTCATCGGATTTTATGGTACACAGGCCAATAAAACAGTAAATGCACTAGTAAAGGGGCAGAGGACAACCTTACATCCACTTAAATGGTGGGGCATTTCACCATAGGCCAATGAAAACATGGGCTACCATCATTTTTAAACCAGTGTTCAGGGATAGTCTTCTCATTTTACAAATAAAGAACCTGGGCATTCGAGAGATAATGTCACTTAACCTAGATCACTAAGCTTATCAACAGTCAGAACTAGAATCAAAGTCTTCTTTTCACCATACCAGGTCACCTGTTAAACTCTAGCTAGGCGTTTGCCCAAAATCAGGAATACTATATTAAACAGAAACTCTCACACTTGAATAGTTTTGGCTTCCATAGTTTAGAAAAAGGTATGTACGCTGATCTATCACTAAAAAAAAAGGTTGTAGGCCTGTAAAAAAAAAAAAAACTGTTGCCACTGAGTCTATTCCAACTCATAGTGACCCTATAGGACAGAGAAGAACTGCTCCATAGAGTTTCCAAGGAGCATCTGGTGGATTCAAACTGCCAACCTTCTGGTTTTCAGATACACCTCTTAACCACTATGCCACCATCTTAAAAATAAGTTCTATATAGAAAATTCCCATTTATTCATATTATTCCAGGTCAAAGAAAAAGATGGAAAGTTTCCCAATTCATTTTGTCAAACTGTCATAACTATAGCCCAAGCCTGATAAAATAGAATGAAAAAGAAAACTATAATTAGATACCACTAAAGAAAATGTTGTTGTTAGGTGTCATCGAGTCGGTTCCAATTCATAGCGACCCTACTGGATAGAGTAGAACTGCCCTATACGGTTTCCAAGGAGTGACTGGTGGATTCGAACTGCCTATCTGTTGGTTAGCAGCGGTAGCTCTTAACCACTGTGCCACCAGGGCTCCTACTAAAGAAAGTAGATATAAAAAATTAAAAGTGTAAACCCCTACATAGCACTTAATATCTGTCAGGCACTGCTGTAGACACTTTATATTTAATCCTCACAACAATCCTTTAAAATATGTACTATTATTATCAAAATTTTATAGAAGGCAAGTTGAAGCAGAGAGAACTAAGAAATTTCCTCAAGGTCACACAATCAGTAAGTAGTAGAGCTAAAATTCAAACCCTGGTAATCTGCTTCCAAAATATTAAGGAATCAAACCCAGCTGTGTATTAAAAACACGTAATGATAAAAGTAGAGATTATCCCAGCAATACAAAGACTGTTTAACATGTCAATATATTACTGAATAAAACAAGACAAAAAGTACACTAATAGAAGCTTTAAAGATACACATTTTTGATAAAATATTTTTTTTTTATTGTTGTGCTTTAAGTGAAAGTTTACAATCCAAGTTAGTCTCTCATACAAAAATTTATACATATATTGTTTTGTGAGCCTAGTGGCTCTCCCTATACTGTGACAACACACCCTTCCTTTCCACCCCGGATTTCCCATGTCCATTCAACCAGCTCCTGACCCTCTCTGCCTTCTCATCTCGCCTCTGATCAGGAGCTGCCCATTTAGCCTCAGGTATCTACTTGAGCTAAGAAGCATACTCTTCACGAGTATCATTTTATGTCCCCTAGTCCAGTCTAATGATAAAATATTCTTAATCAAATAACCATGATAAAGACTATCAGAAAGCAACAATAAACATTATATAAATATAGAATCCTATAATTCTATATTCTAAATTCTATAAATACAGAAGTTCCTCATGGAAGCTGCCGGTTTAGTTCATAACTAAAGTCCCAGTGCCTAGATCAGTCTCTGGTACATAATACACAACCAAACCTGTTGCCATCAAGTCGATTCCAACTCATAGCAACCCTACAGGACAGAGGAGAACTGCCCTATAGGGTTTCCAAGTAGCAGCTGGTGGATTTGAACTGATGACCTTTTGGTTAGCAGCCGAGTTCTTAACCACTGTGCCACCAGGGTACATAATATGTACTCAAATATTTGCTGTATTAACATAAAAAAAGTTAAACATTAAAGCATTCTCACTATATTAGTCTGGTATGCCTGATGTGACTCTATTCTCACATTATTTATGAAGTTCTACCTAGTGCAGTAACACTATAAATACTGGAAAAGACAGAAAAAGTATATTAATTCCAGATTATATGACTGTATGATTAGAAAATCCAGTAGACCTCAGTAAAAACTATTAGAACAAACATAAGAATTTAATAAGGTGAGTAGATATAAGATAAATATACAAAAAAAAAAAAAATCACATTCTCCTTTAAAGTAAAAAGAACCAGTTAAAATTTAATGGAAAACAGTGACTATAATACAAAATAAATTTAACCAGAAAGATATAAGACCTCTATTAAGAAAACTATAACATTTTCTTGTAAATAAAACAAGACTTAATGTGAACTTATTACTAAGTTTTGTTAGAAAGCAAAATGAATTATAATGAATGTAATGGTATATTTTTGAGAAACTTGACAAACTGCTGAAATATATATTTTAGAAGAATAAATATGCAAGGTTTTACAAAAATATGTCTAAAAAGGATAAACAGTGAGGGGAGACTTTTCCTAGCAGATAGTAAAACATACTACAAAATTGCCATGATGATGATGATCATACTATTAACTAGTATTAGCTGCTAACATTTATTGAGTTTCTATGTTCCAGCCACTGTGTGAGCAGTTAATACATAATTTAATTCTCACAATGACCCTATGAGACTTGTATTTTTATTATCCCTATTTTAGATGTGAGGAAACTGAGATTCTGAGAGATTAAGTACCTTGAGCAAGGTAACAGTCAAGACTGGCAAGGGTCCACTACAGTGGGAAAGTAATTGGTATACCATTTTGGAAAAGTAATTGGGTCACCTTTATTCATTCATTTAACACATACTATTGAATAGCTAACTTTTACCAAGTACTATTCTAGATACTGGGAACACAGAAACGAAAAAGATAAAAAAGGCTCCCACCATCAAGAAAGACAACGAGCAAGAAAACGAATTAAATAAGATGATTTTAGAGATTGGTGAGCATGTTAACAAGGAAGTAAAACTGGGTGATGTGAAAGAAACAAACTAGAAGAGGAGTTACTTTTTCTCAGTGTCCAAGAAGTCATCTCTGGAAGCGAAATTTAAATTGAATGCTGAGCTGAGAAGAGCACAGCCATGCAATGAGCTGAAGAATATTCCAGGCAGGCAGAAGAGCAAGTGCAAAAAGCTCTGAGTTGGGACCAGGTCAGAATGTTCAAGGAATACAAAGAAGACCAACATGCCTGGAGCAGAGAAGTGAGCATATGACAGAAAGTGGATGTTTATTACAGGATCCCCACATATGACCTACTTAAAAAAAAAAGGGGGAGGATACCCTTCAGCCCAGCAATACCACCTCTAAGACTAGCATGTACATGTAAAGCTATACGCAGAAGAATGTTATTGTTAGGTACTCTGTAAAAGGAAAACGACTGGAAAAACCTCAATGTTGATCATTTGGGCAATGGTCGAATACCTTATGGTATAACATGTAAAACGGCACACCACATAGCCATAGAAGAGTCAGGTACTATATGTACTGAGTTGGAAAGATGTAGAGATACATCTCTATCCTAGAGATACTATGTGGGAAAAAAAGCAGGTAGACCAATATACATATATGCTATGAGTACATTTTTCTATAATGAGATTCCCTGCACTATAATATCAGGAATTTTAACCCCTAAGTCTGATCCTAGATAAATTCCACTTTGCTTCCTCCCCACCCATGTCAATGTCTTCTTGCACACTATCCTCCTGTCTCTAATTCAGTCTCTGCCAGCATTTCAGCTCACAACCCATTGTTTGCTTCTTTACCTAGGTACATGAACAGCATCCCAAAATTTTAAGAGGATAGAGAAGAAGAACACCTCCTTATAATTTAAAAAGACAAACGTAATAGACTCTTAATAACTTGGAAATGACTGAATCAGCTCTAATAATTTTGGAGTATCCATAAACTTAAACCTGTTTAAAAATTAGAAATCACATTACAATGAGCAAGTAAAGGCAACCAGATTTTCAGTAAAGTAGCAAAGATATAAATGATGAGTTACACATGGGGTTGCCACGAGTCAGAATGGACTCCACAGCAACTAACAACAATTCTTACCTCTACTTTTGTGCGATAGAGAACAAGTCTTTTAAGGCCGCATAATTTGGCAATGTGGTTGAAAGCTTGAGGTGGCAGTCTGTCACAAGATGAGAGATTTAATTCCTGTAGATTTGGACACATCTCAGAAATAACCTCCAAGCAAGTTTCATTAAGGAAGTGGCTGCAAGATAATTCAAGGCGGACTAATTCAGATCCACAAACCTTCAAGAACCTGTAAAAACAATGTTCTGTGTGAATTTTATAAAATTAAAAGACATTTTCTTAAGGACTTTGGAATTATATTAATTCTAAGAAGATATTCTTAGAAAAATGGATTTCAATTAAGGAACATGTAAAACTTGCTTAGCCTAAATTCTCATTCATTGCATACTGAAATATACATGGTTAAGCTAAAATAAATCAACCTGAGGAGATAAGTAAAGTCACATCACTTAAAAAGTCAGCTAACACTAAATGGAAAATTTAGCAGAGGGTGTATTTCTCCCACTTACTTATAACTCACATCTGAGTTGGTAAAGCCATAAACAAAACAAAACAAAAATCTATAAGCTCTTGGAAGATATTCTCCCCCTTAGCAATACCCATACAAAAATAAAAAAAAAAAAACCCACTGCCATCGAGTCAATTTCCGACTCATAGCAACCCTATAAACCAGAGTAGGGCTGCCCCATAGGGTTTCTAAGAAACAGCTGGTGGATTCGAACTGTCAACCTGTTTTGGTTAACAGCCATAGCTCTTAACTACTGCACCACCAGGGCTCCAACACCCATCCAGTACTGGTTAATATATTTTGAACAATACACACAAAGTGACTGCTTTAAATTAAATGACCCCAAAACAAATCAGACCAGAGTTCCCTAACTCAGAAAATTCATGGGTTGGCTTAATTGTACCGTTGTGATATGTTCCCTGTGTTACTATTTAGCAGTTAGACTGCTTGATGTTATAATCCAAGGTGTAGGACACAAAACTTCTTATCAGAGTAGGAGTCACAGTTATTTATTTTAGTTATATTACAGGTTGGGGTTAAGAGACATTTCTGTCCATAATCATCACCTGAAAAACAATATAAAAGTAAATGTGAGTCTAATAATAGAGTAAGGAGCCCTGGTGGTGCAGTGGTTAAGCAGTCGGCTGCTAACTGGAAGGTCAGTGGTTTGAACCCACTAGCCATTCTGCAGGAGAAAACACCTGGTGATCTGCTCCCATGAAGATTACAGCCAAGGAAACCCTATGGGGGCAGTTCTACTTTGTCATATAGGGTCACTATGAGTTGGAATCGACTCAATGGCACACAACAACAATAACAGTATTTGAGTCCATAAAACTTCATTAACTGAACAAATTGAACCCTTAAACAGTGCACCAATTATTTCTCTCTAGATCTCTTGACATTTTCTTGCCTGTCAGTATCACATAGGTAATAGACTTCAAAGTGCCACATCTTTTTCCTAAATGGTTTAATGAGCTTATAAGAACAAATACACAATAAAATTGACTAATTAGATCACTTTTATTTCAAGAAAGTAAGTAACAATGGATTATAAGTCAAAGATGAATTTTTTGCTTTGTTCCACTACTTCCTTGCATGTGACCTTAGGAAAGGCAGTTACCCAAGTCTCAGCATTTCCTCAGCTGTGAAAGGCAAACTTGAAGAATGTAACACCACTCACAAACCACCTCGTGGTTTTAAACATCAAATACGACGAAAGCAGCTTGTAAAGGTTAAAGCATTTCACAAACATTAAAATAAAAGTTACATCTTGGCCATCTCATTTTCATACAAGAAGAAGAAATTCAGTTGCTACATATTGTATTTTAAATACTGTGAACAACCTAGTAGCCACAACATCTTATTTACACTGAACATTCATTCATCCTGAACCAACTGCAATCTGTGTTCTGCTCTCCCTAAATTCACTGTTTCCTTTTAAATGCCAAACTCAATGGCCTCTCTTTTTAGTCCTTGTATTACCTGACTTAGTCTTAATCTGGAAGCTCCACTAAAACTTGTTCAACATCCTAGCAACACACAAGGCTCCACTGACAGATGAGCAGTGGCTGTGCTTGAGGTACACTGGCTGGGAATCAAACCCGGGTCTCCTGCATGGAAGGTGAGAATTCCACAACCGAACCATCACTTCCTCCTAGACAGAATGTTAGAAAGTGAAAAGTGTCAAGGAGAGGGAAAAAAAAAGCAGGGAAGGGGAATAGGAAGTATCAAGGGTAGACAGGGTGGTCAGAGATGCCTCACTGAGAAAGTGAGTAAACACCTGAATAAAGGAAGTGAGGGAAGCAGACAGCTAGAGGAAGAGCACTCCAGGAGGGCAAGCACAATGGCTCTGGGACTGGCTAACAGGTAAAGCGAGGAACAGTAAGGAGGAGGCACGAAGTGAGAGGGAGATGAGGAGTAGATGGGGGGCAGAGGGACAGCTCACTTAGTGTGTATCACTATAAAGACTTTGGCTTTTATTTTGAGGAAGACAGGATTCCCAATCACCAGAGGGTTTTGAGCAGAGGAGTGACCTGACCTCGCCTGAGTTTCAACAGGATCACTCTGGTTCCTGTTTGAAAAACAGACTGAACAGGGAACAGAGACCATCAGGGACCAATAGGGAATCAGTACAGTAATCAGGGATGAAAGGATGGAGTACTGGGTCCAGGTGGTGCAGTGGATGTGGTGGTAAGTACTCAGATTCTGGATCTATTTCAGAGGTTGTTGTTGCCATTTAGTTGATTCCAACACATGGCAACCCCATGTGTTACAGAGTAGAACTGTCCCAAGCGTTTTCTTGGTTGTAATCTTTACGGAAACAGATTGCTGGGCCTTTTCTTCCGCAGTACCACTGGGTGGGTGCAAATTGCCAACCTTTAGGTTAGCAGTCAAGCTCAAACCGTTTGTGCTGCTTAGGTAGCCAAGTATATAATAAATTACGACATGCCTGAGTTTGGCAATTCTATATACTAAATTGTACTACAGCATCACTTATTTTCCAACCATTATTTTCCTTTTAACCTCAATATTCTTATTAATTTTTTTATACTGGGTTTTAAAAGCTGCCTCAAATCCTTTGGTGTCTTAAATAGATTGTTAGTATTCAGCAGTATTTAGCACAATGTCAGGCACATAACAAACGTGATAAGACTTTGTTGAAGGAATCTTACAATTATGAAAATTCACCTAGTGCATTTAATTTTCCTCTATTACTGAAACTACTAAGTTCTAGTGGCTTGGGGATTTTTTTGCCTAATAGGGGCAACTATTTCCAAGAAATAAGATGAAATTCATATTTTTACCTAAATTCGAGTATATACAGTAGTTGTAAGGGTTCTTCATTATTCATAAGCTAGCAATCTAGGATTTCATAGTATTAAAGGATACCCTATTTTTGTTTGATACATCTAAAATAATTGGCAGATTATAAAAGATAAATGAATATATTAACTCTCTTATGATTAAAATCTTCAGGCACTTATCATGTTAAGGCCTTCATTATGTGACGAAGGACTTTGTGTTACTTTTTTTTTTCTTTTGGATATTTGAGCTTAGAATGCCTTGATATCTCTTTTCTCTTTGCTCTCATCACTGAACTTTTCCCCTCCAAAGAATTATAGAGTGATATCAAGTCAATTATCAGAAAGTCAACTATTACCAGGCAGTAAAAAACTTGCCAGGCTGATTTAACCAATGGTAGAATCTGAAAGCACAATAAACACTAAGATCATGCCAATACTACCTTTCTCACTCTTTTTCTCGAAGATTCCTACAGTGCATATTTCTACCCTGAACAGATTATTTGGTCAATATCCCCATACTGTCTTCCTAAACATCTCCATCCCACAGAGGCAGAAGTAGCAGCAAACTCCATTAGCTGGACTCAACTCTTTGTTACTTTTTTTAAATTCTCTTAATATAAGCTTTTGAAAAATGAATAATTACATATATGTTTTTGTCTCTGTCATCTTTTTATTCATCTCAACTGTGATATCCATCACTTAAAAGGAGAACAACAGCTTCTTCATTTCCTTTAACCTATTCATTCCATGTGAATTCTCATAAAGTATTTCTTGATATCGAGAGTATTCTGAGAAGACCTACATTCACATAAACATTCCCAAACTAGGTCTCCTGCTATGAAAAAAGGAGCCTCTGGAGAGAGAAATAAATTGTTTATTCCTATGAGGTGAATTAACTTGTCCAGAGTAATACAAGTACATAAGAAACAATTTACTAAATGGTAACTTGCACCCTAAAATAATTAACATCACATGAATGAACGATTTAATCTGAGTTTACTCATTACAAAAAAAAGCACTAATCCTCATAACCTGCCTGAAGTATAAAGGTAAGGAGAGAATTAAGTATAACATCCATGCTTCTGATTTCTAATCTTATGTTTTGTTAGCTGACCCTCACTGAGTTTTACAAAAATATATTTAAGATAATTTTAATCCCAAATAATTTACAGCATCATTTAATATATCTGATACAACATAAAGCCATTAAAAACAAAACTTCCTGCTTAGTTGTGTATGGTACTATCTAGCAATGGTAGAAAGAAGGGGAAAGAAAGTCTTAAAATTATCTCTACTGTCTAGGAGTTGATGGACTAAAAAGACAACTGTATAAAACAAAGGCAGACAACTGAACACACACATCTATGAACGGGCAATAAGCTCTTTAGATCATAAAACTCAAGCTCTGTGTCAAAACATCTATTAAACTTCTTGCATCTAGAATACCCAAGAATGTTTTCTGAAGGAATGAATATATACTACTTACAACAAGTAGAGATGTTAGGGGTGAAAACCCATTTATAACTGAGGTGGAGATCAAGGTGATTAGTTTGTGCAACTATTTGAAAAAAATGGTAGTGGAAAATGAACCTAAGGCTTTTGAACATCAGAATGATGTCATATCATTAAGCCTCAAAGCACAAACAGGCAGGGAGGCAAAGGGATATCCAAAACTTTAGGGGACCACATTAGAAAAGGAAAGTGGAATTATATAGACATGATTTTAATGAGTAATGATATGCTTGAGCAGTACTCGAAGTTTCAAATGACAAATCTGCAGATAGAACAGGATTTTAATAACTGATTAAAAGTTTGAAGTTCTCATTATTCCAATTTAACCTATTTCCTTGGTATGCTGAATACTACAGATTCCTAAAAAAAAAAAAAAAAAAAACCTTTAAAATCCAGTTAAACAGTTTTAACATGTGGGGGATAAAGTTTTTAGGCAACAAAATAAACTATATCAAACTTTTTCCCAGAGACTTGCTAAAAAAGCAGCTCCTCATCATTGGTCTCTAGTTTAAAAATGTACTTCTTTTCTTTAAAGTATAAATAAGTCTTCTTCACAGTAATGAGCATAAATAGACCATACTTATTCATAGATTATTCATTAATAATCAAGTTATGAATATTTATTGTTTATTCTGGGAATGCTGCCTACAAGCCATAATGACTATCAATTCAGCAGTCATGTCAAGGGGGCCAACAGCAATCAGGAGGCAAAACTCCAATACTCCCCTCCGCAAAAAAAGAGTCTCTCTTCCTGTTATTTAAACTTTTTCTTTTCTTAATGCAAACAGTGACTATGCTTAAAAGAATGCTATCAAGATTTATGGCTTTATTGGCTGAAATACTACAGTAAAATATGGAGAACATAAATTAATGTATACACTTTTGTGATTATTCAAACAGCCCCACAGCAACTAACCTGGGTGAATTGATAATGCAAGCAAAACTGCTGGTGAGAAAGTAGACTGAAGCTCTAACCTTGCAAAGGATCTTATCCATTATCAGTCTAAAATTTAAAACATAGCATTGCTAAGTTTTCTTCTCACAACTGTGCTGCTTCTTATACACCAGAATGAGCCATATAGAGTTTTAAAACATTGAGTTAATAGTACATTTACATTTTACTCATTGTATCATGGTCATCTACATCAATTTACCAAAGAAGCTGGACTTCAGCATACACTCCCGATGTTTTCTTTAATGTCTATACTCGATTAGTTGCCATTCTGTTATTTTATTTATATAAATATATAAAGGATATGTTTATGTATTTATCTTTATTTTGTCTGTAGCCTGGAGGCAGGAACTATATTATATATCACATATACCTCTTTACATGGTCAGCAACACCCAGTATAATACCTTGCAAACAAAGGGTGAAAACAAACACTTCATAAATTCCTAATAGCGAAAACATTGTGTGAAGAGCTATGAAGGTAATTAAAACACCCTAAAGGTCCTTATAATGTAAAATAATGTTTACTGATACCAATTGTTCTATCTGTTCTCATATTCAGTTAGTCTTGGTTTATGATTGATACTATATGCTCTAAATACCCACAGTTATCATTAGCTTCAGTTCTTCCTGGTCCTACTAGCAGAGAAGAAATGTGCAGATGAAGTGTGTGTGCTGTGGGCAGGAGGAAGTAGAAAGGACTATGTAGGCTGTATTTTTTCTACTACAGATATACCCTGTTAAGCAAATTTACATAATCAAAAATGATTTAATACATATAACATGTTATAAAATCGTTTGACTTCTGATCCACAATACCATAATGTTTTATCTAAGAACCCTTTCCCCTAGCTCTATCTGGCAGAAAACAAATCCAGGGCATCCACGGTTTCACTATGTGCTACAAGCGATTACTGCATGTTTATGTTTTCCTTTGATGCATAAATAATCAATGTTAGCATTTTGAACACATTGTTACTATTTTAACATTATTACTTCATCTGAATCTAGTGGGATCAAATATTTATTTCTGGAACTCCATCTGTATTTTTGAAATCTGAGTCAAGGGGAAGCAAGGCTCAATATACCAATTTCTAATTCATAAAACACTGTCCAAGAACGCAGCCAACTAGAGGTGTGTGTAGGGATACCAATAGCTCATTTTTAGATTTTAAAAACAGAGTAAAAGATTATTCACTAATCAAAAATAACAGGTAATTTTCCCCAAAGTTTCTACTCTTTCATTATTTAACTTAATGAAAATGATAGGATTATACTGTGATATACAGTGAGAACAACCATCATGAAGGTTAAGAGAAAAACACCTGTTCGTATCATGAGAAAAATTACTATGCCATTACTAAATGAACATGCACTTGTGCAAGCTTTCAAATGTTTAACAGGTGACATTTAATAGTAAGGAAACAAAATGCTTAAATAGAAAGGAGCAAAAACACCTGGGCAGGTCTACAAGTGTGGTCGCCTATTTAGCATGCAATTGCATTTTCAACATAATTAGTTTAAATGAGCTTCTAAATTTGGGTGATGTATTGCACATGTAATTAAGATTTAATTAAAAATGTTCTATAATAAATTGTTTTCCATTTCTGACAAATCACATTAGAGAAGTAGATTTTGATTTTCAAATACTTTTTAAAATGTGTGAATCATCTGTGCTGAAAATACAAGAAAGGAAAAAAAAGGAATTCTATTGAAAGTTACATGAGATTTAAAAAATTTGAGGTAAAGGGCATAATTTCCCTTCATATTATTATGAAGGTTAGCTAAAGAGGATGGTAAAACTCATTCATTTCTATAAGCGGCAGTATTCTGAACATGATGATACACAAAATGTGTTTCTTTTTTATTTTGTATCTTTGAAGTATATGGTATATAATTTCCAACTTTTGTAAAAACATAGTAAATACAGTCTTGCCGGTGAAAAAATCTCATCAAAGCTTTGCACTAACCTGCCAAATCCTGAAACAGAGATGAAGCCCCTGTTGCCTGTCCAAGATAGATTAAGCCACTGGACAAGACTGCAGCGAGCCTGTAGAAATTCCAAAGATGTGTCATTTAGTTTTGCCCAGTATGGTTGCAAATTGAGCTGGATGTATTGTAGAGGATCACAGCAATGCTGGTTCAGTAGCTTGCAAGTCTGGGCTAATCTGCACAGGTCTGGTAGTGTAAGATGATTCAGAATCAGTTGAATGAGCTACATAAAACAGAGAAACCAAGATTATCAAGACTGAAAAACAACAAATATCACTTTATTAAGCATATAAGGTCTAATAAATAATAGTATTATTTTATAAAAATATTTTCACATAGAAAATAAATCAACATTCAACATAATTATCCAAATGCAAAGAAATCGTACATGCATAAGACTATATTGCATTTCAAAACTGTTCCAAGTGTATTCAGCTCAGGTTGACTCCTCACTTTCTTAGGGTGCAAAGATGTATCCTGGGAGATAAGCTGTTGAATAATACAATTTTTTATAGACTCAGTATTTAGTGAACATCTATTATACACCAGATACTGGTGATAAAGGAGTCCCCACTCTCATTGTTGATACCACAGCAGGGATTGGTTATTATAATGATTTACTGTAATAGCTTTGATGGAGAGAAGCACAGAATGCTACTGGAGCCCACACAAGACACAAGCCAAACCCCAAAGTGAAAGTGCACTTGTGCCAGGAAGGCTCAGTTTTAAAAGCCGGAGGGGTAACCAGGTGAAAGGCAGGACTAATGCCAAGGGACTGGGTTACAAAGGGCAATGAGGAGCCTTGAAGGGATTCATGCTGCAGAGTGATATGGTCAGATTTGTGTTTTAGAAAGATTACGCAAGGAGCCCTACTGGAGGTAAGGAGGCAGGATGAAAAACCAGACTGGGAACTACTGCAAAATTCCAGGAAAGAGAAAAGGCAATTGGCAGTGATGATGGAGTAGCAAACATACAAAAAGCATTAAGGAGATGTAATTAGAAAGACCTTTTATATCTAATTAAAACTGTCTCCTTGAACTAGTGCCAAGATTTTTTTTCTTAATGGGTAAAAAGTTAGAGATTTCTAAACTAGTTTTCAAAGAACTATTGCTAAATAGACTATTCTGAACAAAAAATAAAACACAAAGGAAAAAAGAGATCAAATATTTGTTAATGGTAAAAAACATATTTAGATGAGAGAGGAAGTTGAGTTTTTTACTTAAGGCTGTGGATTTAGTGTAGCTATATTTTTTGTTTTATAAATATGTCCTTTAACCTAAAGGTTCTTCTTCAATCTATTTCACTATCTCGGATCAGTATTAATTTCAGGTCTGAATTTCACTGTTGTAGGCCAAAATTTTACAGAATAAAGAATGACCACAAAATGATTTTTAAAATAAGTTTAAAGAATGTTTCTAAAATATGGGCATAGGCTGACTAATATACATCTTGAATATAGTAACGTTTGCGGTGCTGTTGCTATTTATTTTTAGAATTTGAACTAGGCTTTTAAAAAATAACATTAAGGGGTGTGTGTGTGTGTGCACGGGCATGCTTTAAAACAGGGAAATACAAGAAATAAAATTAAAATTAAATTAAAAATTAGCTCACAATCTCATCATTCAGATAACCCTGCTGACCTGTAAAATACTGTACAAACAAGCAAATAAACAAACAAAAAACACAGGCAAAAAATTAGAAAACCCATTTAAGAAAGGTATGAAATGAGAAGTTTCTCCTTCTCTACTCTAGATCTACCAGCCTCTCTCCCCAGAGATAATCACTGTTTAACAGTTTTTATGCTCCCTTCCAAATAAATGTGTATGAAATTCTACTCTTGGATTTGCACTAAAATTTAATGGTACCATATATACTGTTCTATACCTTGCTTTTCTCATTTAATGACATACCTTGTACATCATCCTGTATCTGTACATACAGATTCACCCATTCTATTTTATAACATTTCCTGTTCTTTTTCCTATTGCAAACAATGTTGCAATATCATTGTATTGTAGGTACATATGTATTTATATCTTCGGAAACTTCTGCAGTATATTCTTGGGATAAATTCCATGCATTTAAAAGATCTCATCTACATCCAAAATTGCCATTCAGAATGTTTTTTTCACCAATTTATACATCCATGAGTGTCATGGACTGAATTATGTCCCCCCAAAAATGTGTGTATCAATTTGGCTGGGTCATGAGTCCCAGTATTGTGTGGTTGTCCTCCATTTTGTGACTGTAATTTTATGTTAAAGAGGGTTAAGGTGGGATTGTAACACCCTTACTAAGGTCACATCCCTGATCCAATGTAAACAGAGTTTCCCTCGGGTGTAGCCTGCACCACCTTTTATCTTATAAGAGATAAAAGGAAGGTGAAGCAAGCAGAGAGTTGGGAACCTCATACCACCAAGAAAGCAGTGCCTGGAGCAGAGCGTGTCCTTTGGACCTGAGGTTCCTGCACAGAGAAGCTCCCAAACTAAGGGAAGATTGATGACACAGACCTTCCTCCAGAGCCAACAGAGAATGCATTCCCCTGGAACTGACGCTCTGAATTGGACTTGTATAGCCTACCGGACTGTGAGAGAATAAACTCCTCTTTGTAGAAACCATCCACTTGTGGTATTTCTGTTATAGCAGCACTAGATAACCAAGACAACGAGCAACGTATAAAAGCACTATTCACCTGTACCCTAGGCACCACTGGTATCAAATCTTTAAATTTTGCCATTCTGAAAGGCAAAAAAAACCCCAAAAACACAGTATGACACAGTTGTTTTTATTTGCAGTTCTTCCTCTTCTTTTTTTAATTACAAAAATTAGCTCTCTACCAAGTAAGTTATAAATGTTTCCTTTTTTCCTGTTGGTCTGTTTCTGGATTCTCTTCTGCTCTACTTATTTCTCCATTATTTCTTCCTTATCAATAGCTTTCTAGGTCAAATAAATATGCGCTGTTCTAAACTTTTAAAAGTTAGGTGTTGGAATGCATTGAACTGTTTGGTTGCAAATTAGAATCTACCTTGTCAACCCACAAATATCAATACTGTAGCTTCATAATAACAGACAGAACTAGTGTCCTTCCATTGCTCTCCTTTTCCAGAATTTTCCGGGGTAGTAGACAACAGATATGTTAATAAACCATTTTTAAACAATCAGAAATGGATAAAAATTTGGATATCTACCTCGGTGTCATTTGTCAAACAATTTTGTACATCTACTGAGATGATTGCAGGATTTTTTTCCTTTGACTTAGTACTATAGTATTATTATGAAAACACCCTGAATTCCAGGTATAAATTCTGGATTATTTCACCTTATTATTCTTTTAAAACAATTCTATTTGCTGTTATTTTATTTAAGATGTTTGTACTAATATTCTTAAGTAAAACTGGTCTGTAATTTTCTTCTTGTGTGCTATCTTAATCAGTGTTTACACTGGTTTCATAAAAAAGTTGAAAACTTCCCTTTTTCTTTATGCTATGAAAGAGTTTAAACAATATAGGAATTATATGCTCCTTAAATGTTTGAAAGAAGCTATGAATCACCTGAGCTTGGCAACAGTAAATTTTTGTAGAATGAATTAAAATTTTATTGTTTTGACTATAATACTGTAAGTTATTTCAGCAGAATTTTTAAGCAATCAGTGCAAAGAGGCACTAAAAATTAGATATATCCCTGCTTCAGAGGATAAACAATTCACTCTTTTCAGATGATTTGTAATTTAAATAACTGCTAGCAACTTCTGGCATGGTTCCAAAAAGTTACTGTATTAAAAGATGTATATATTGTGTGAAAACATTCTATGATAATATTACATTCAAAGCAAATATCAAAATAGAACAAGTAATGAAAAATCTCTGAGACTATGATTAAATAAAAGGTAACAGGTTTCAAGTTTACAAGATAATAGTCATTAATCATTACTCATCAAGTATCTAGTGTCTGTCAAAATGTGTTTTTATACGGGGGTATCCTAGCACGAAGTACCTTTTGATACCACATGAATACAGGATGTGATGTGTTGGGAAGGACTACCAAAATACTCTATTCATGATACAATTATTTTCAACTGTAGAAACATTATATCACTTGACATATGTACATTTTTTTCATTTAAATAATTTGGGTTACCTTCAAATTGCTTTTTAAGAGTTTCTCTTCTTGCTCACTGTGATCATTCAGTATTTTGCAGCATTAACTCTTTACATGGTATTCCTTACGTGTCCCTCTAGAACTACTGATTCCATCTCCTGCTGTCTTGTACAGAACTTTTTGTATTAATTAAGCCCCTCATGTATTTTAATCTTTCCCTCTCTACTGACTCCTTCCCTTCAGTGTATAAACATGCTGAAATCTCTCCCAACCTGCACCCAAACAAAAACCTTCCCACTCTATTTCAGCCCATAATTTGAATACATTAATAGAGTACATTTTTTCTGCTTATACTCAGAACATAAACACTTCTTGGCTCTGCCTCCTCCCCTCTTCTTAGCCAAGGATGGTAAAGTTGTCTCATCTCTTACCCTATGGTCATTGTCCACCAAACTGATAATGGTAAAGGGCCATCAATGATCTCCAAGTGTGACACTTCTGACCAGGGTTTTGAACAGGTTTTTTCCGGTTTGAAACCCTGCTGAGAATTTGCCTAACAAGGTCCCTACAGAGAATTTGCATTTCCGCCCCAGATATACTGAATCTGAATCTACATTTTAACAAGAGCTCTAGGTGATTCTTATGTATAACTTCCTGGGAACCAGAAAGCACCAGTCTGAAGTCCTGCTTCTAGCTTCGTTCTCCATGGCAGTCAATGTTAAATCCTTTTTATGTTTTCTGTACTTTCGTAGCTTCACAACACTTTGCTCTTAAGACCCTCCGATCTTCTATATGACCCTTATAGTCTCACTCTAGAGTTTCACTGGTATTTCACCTACTGTGGTTCGTTTCCTCTCTTTTGAGTAGACTCACTCAGATATAAATTAGAACTTCCTCCTGAGTTTCAAACTCAAATGGCAACTACCTATTGTAATCAACACCAAGTCTGCTTTGATAAATCACGGGGACCTCTTCATCAATTTTTGCCTAAATTATTGCACTAGCTTCCTAATGTGTCCCTGCCTCTCATCCTGACCTCCTGCTGGTCTATTCTCCACTTATCAATGATACTGTCAATATCCCATGCTTCTCTCTTTCCCCAACTCAACTCTTCCTTCATCTTTCCTCCATCCTCACCATAAGGGCCAGAAAGCTCTTGTCCAATCTGTGAAGCTTCCTTTCCATAACACAAAACATGAATTAGAAGTGCTGAGTTGGATCTTGCTTCCATGGCTGACTGACTGAATTAGCATGGACTCTTACACTCATCTTGATGTGGCAACTTTAGCTATTTCACAGGATGTAAACTGTAAAATGTTGTACAGACATTATAGTTATTAATACTGTTTGGCATTCAAGAGGTGTTGTATTGTTCCATGAAAGCTAAGCTACTTATGTTATTACAATGAAACCTAAAATATCCACCAATTTGGAAGGGGGATAGTCTGAATTAGTTAAAATCTAAGAGTAAACTTTTCTTAAGAAATTTGGTTATATTATTTATAACCACATACAGTAGTCTTTAGCAAAGACAGAAATGCCTGGGCCTGCCCCAATCCCACGGGGTATTTGGAAACACGTGGGAGGAAGTTTTGGTTGTCACATGACTGATACGCTACTGGTATTTAAGCCTAGAAGCCAGGATTAAGAAATATATTGCAGTGTGCCCCTACAGAGACATACTGAAAACAGAACCTCAAATCAGACACAAAAGAAGTATTTCCAGGTAAAGCCCCTCTGCCTACCTAGACCAAAAAGTATTGTTAGTTAGAAGAATACAGAACAGAGTCAGTACAGAAGAAGAAACGAAGCTTCAAGAAATTGTGGACTACTAAGTGGCGTAAGCATTCCTCTCACAATGTCATTAATACTCTTAATTTTAACAGCAAATCATCTTTAACATAAATGGTATAAAAGTTGAGCATATACTGTCCACATTTATATAATTATGAATTAATGCAGAGTATTAATTTACTATGGGTTTACTTACGTTGATCACTGTTAATTGTTACTGTTGTTAGTTGCTGTCCAGTCAATTCCAGCTTATGGTGAACCCATGTGTGCAGAGTAGAACTGCTCCATAGGGTTTTCAAGGCTGTAACCTTTCAGAGGCAGATCGCCAGACCTGTCATCCGAGGCGACTCTGGGTAGGTTTGAATCACCAACCTTTTGGCTAGTAGTTAAGTGCTTAACTGTTTGCATCACCCGGGGATTCCTTATTGTTAATTAATGATACAATAACATATATTTAATACTACATTCAGAATCATTAAAGTCAATCCGAAAGAAAAGAGGTAAAATTACTTAATATAATTTTGTCTAGTTTTTCAAAAACCAAAATATACTATATATCAGATTATGTGTACCTTACCAATGCTTCTATTTCTTTAATATCTAGCAAAATGACCATGAATAACTAAACAGTTAAAAACCTATAGTGATATGTCCAATATTGCTACTAAATATTTTTTGCTTACCTCATAAGGCAGTTTATCAAAATATCCATTATTTGGCCCTTCCCTGAGGGTAGCACTGCTAAACTTTTTGTTAAGATTGTCCATTCCACAATCATCCTTTTCTTCATAATCATCATCTTCTAGATCATTCATGTCAATAAGTGAAGTCTGGAGAGAAAGCACTGGCTTGTCCTTCATACCATGTAGCACAACTGCATCTAATTCAGTGTAATAATCCAGAAGAGAACTATTTACTTCCAGCCGTATAAGATTTGTGGGAAAATTTATCTGTTTAATACAAGGTTTAAACTGGCGAGCCTGGGAACCATTCACCTTCGTAGGTCTCTCTGACCAAAGAATCTCCCATCTGCCAAAGAAAAAAACTCCCCTATAATACAGTTTAGAATGAGATCTACTGTTACCATGCAGTTATGACCCCATACCAATAAAGTACAATGTGAAACAAAGGCATTAAATAAAGTAACTGGAATCAAAACACAAGTATTATTTCCAAGATAAGAAAGATTTAAAAGACTAAATGCCATAGACCTTATTACTCAAATTATTTTTACAACTCCCTAGTAAATTCTTTTTTGCAGATTTCACATAAGTCAGTTTTAAAACTGTGATCAGTATTAGAGGTACCTGAAGAACAACATTTAGTTTTAGAGCAAGAATAAAGCACACAGGATAAAGGTCTCCCATTGTGGAAATTAAACTGACCATCCTGCCTCACAAAAGTCCCCTGTTCCAGCTTTTCCATTTCTGTTACTGGCCTCAAACTCAAAATTTTCATGTTATCTTTTATTTTCTCTTTTTACCATCGTTAAGTTTTGTCAAAGTTTTATCAAATTGTCTCTTATTTACATGCTTTTGAATTTCACCTTTTGTATCTTATTGTCATGTTTTAGTCATCCTTGTATCTCCAATACCTAACAAATATCCAACACAATATGTGAATCATGTTTTCTACTGCCTCTCCAAATGAACTAATCTCCCCTTTTAGCCAGACTACTCATTACTTTTCATACAATAAATAAATTCAAACTTTGTTTTCACTTATCCTTGTGCTGCTACTGCAAAGCGACATCAGATGATATTAGAGGAATGTCTCATGTTCAGGAAACGCGGTCCACTCAGGACCCTGTAAAATGACTGCCTACACCGGTTCTCAACACATGTGGACTCAACCAGTCTATTTTATTGTTTAGCTTCAATGAGGAGTTTCTGTGAGGCCTAACAGAAAACTGAAAATGTAATATGGAAATCACCTCTACCAAGTACTTTGCAATAAATAAACATGCAAACAACACATGTGCTTCATGTATAGCTTGAAACACATCACAATGTAAATTAAATTATAAAATTATAAATATTAGCCTAAAGAAAGATATTGACTAAAGCAGAAATACTATATTTTAATAATGTGTTAATCTACTAAAGTCCTCTCTGTATCTTGCAAAATATGCAAAATAGTAGGTCAAGATGTCTTCCTTAACATTTCTAGTATGCTTAAATACATCAAGATTAATGCTATTTTAGTATAATTTTTGCTTCTGCTTCTTTACAGAATGAAAATTATATATTTAGTTATGCATACATCGTAAGTTATAAATATGATAGCATAGTAAAAGCAGAAGAATTAAGGATCTTATCAGTTTTTAGAAAGATTTTGAAGTATGTCTAAAACATTATTTATATTTTACTTTTTCTTAATGACCTAAAAAGTAACAAAGAAAAATAATAAGAAGAGACAAAAAAATGATTTTATAGGCCTGTGGCCATTTGAATTAAGTTAACATTAACTCTGAGACCAATACAAACTGAGTCTGTGGCATATGTGCTCAAGCGAATCTTTGTTTAAAATACCCTAAGGGAACTAGAATACATCATTTCAAAGCTAAAAAGAGAAAGGTGTCTATTTTACTAAGGAGAGAATATGCCAATTTCTTTTTATTCTATAAAAATAAAGCCAGAATTTAAAAAACCAGTCTTGTACAAGCAAATACAAGCATACACACATGCATGTGTACGTGTACACAGACGCACACATACACGCACTTTCTGGGAGATACCTCCAACTCTCAATTCTCTAGATCTAGAGCAGTTTTGATGTAATTTAACTCCTTTAATCAGTATAGTCTGTACATTTATATGTTTACTACTTATTCTCACACACTGTACCTATCTACTGAATAAATGTGGCAAAACTTTGATGCCCTAAGTATTTCAAAGGTAGAGGATCACATGTGGGAAATTCATCTTGGAATTCCTCAGGCTGGGCTTCAGTCCACAGTTGGAGCACTCAGTTTTCCAGTGGTAACCAACGGCATTCTCTTCACATGCCACGCAATTTTCTGTTGGTCTACGCCCTCCAGTGCTTCAACCGCACTGAATGCCTACTATGTGTCCAGAGCTCGAGAACAAATCATTAAACCACTCTCTTCTCTGCGACTGCTGTAGTGCTGTTACCACTGGGAAATTCTCTCCAGGCTCCCAAGAAGCAGCAGGTACGCAAGAGAGGAAAAGAGATGTTTCGTTAATGGAAACCAGAGAGAGTAAGTTTTCTGACTTGTATTCAGGTTTGAAGTCAGGCACATGGGTGCACAAAGCTTCCTCGTAAAGAGACTATCCCCTGGTTAGTAAGCGTATCGACCACTGTAGTCCGCAGAAAATTGTTCTTTTGTCAACCCTGTTCCATTTCAGCAGTTCAAAGTGAAAGAACAGGAAAACAGAAGGAATAAAAGACACAAGTATTCTGATATGTGAACCTCCTTATTGCCCGCCTCCCAACCAATCTCTAATTGGAAATTAACAAACTGGCATTCTGATTTAAAAAAAAAAAAAAAAAATGCCAAGGATCTGGTCAATTCTGGCTTAAATGGTAAAATCATGTTTCTTGGACACAAAGTCAAGGGGCCTACACCATGAAAAATTTCTTAAATGACTGCTTAAACAACTCCCTTTGGCAGCAAATACTCTGTGACAATCGCCTTCTCTCTGCTTTCTTCACTTCAACATTACGTAGTCAACGTGCTTTTAACACTCAAAAAGAAAAAGATCCACACAACTGAATTTTATCCCCAAATAACTTTATTCAAGTCAGTTTCTTTAAAATGATTTCAATTTGATATTTTCTCTCTTCTCTTTTCTCTCTTCGAAAATTTAACCGAGCTAGCTTATTTTCTGACTCTTACACAGCATCCATGAAGTTCTTATCCTCTGGACCAGGATACTCTATGCCACCTTGTATTCATTTCCTCTTAACAGGGCACCAAGGCAGAGACTTGGTGGCAAAGTAGTTGATAGCTCAGGCTGCTAATCAAAAGGTCAGCAGTTCGAATCCACCAGCTGCTCCCTGGAACTCTATGGGGCAGTTCTACTTTGCCCTTTAGGATTGCTATGAGTCACAATCAACTCAACGGCACACAACAACAACAGGCAAGAAGTCAAAAGACTTTTAAATCTGATAGAACTACCTGTATCCGTTCTACTTCACTCACTGAACAATGGAATGTAGATTCATGAAACAGGAAAGGACTGCTTTTAAATTTTGAATGGTCTGGAGCTATATGTCCATTTCCTGCAAACAAATTCCTGAACTACCCCAATGTACTGTTTTTTAAAAAATAGTATTTTATTGTGTTTCAGATGAAAGTTTACATAGCAAATTAGGTTCCCATTTAACAAGTTTTATACAAATCTTTCCGTGACATTGGTTACGTTTCACCATGCGTCAGCATTCTCATTATTTCCATTCTGTTTGTTCTGTTTCCATTAATCTAGCTTCCCTGCCCCTCCTTACCATCTCATCTATGCTGTAGGGTAATTGTTGACCGTTTGGTCTCACACAGTTGATTATTTAAGGGAGCACAGTACTCACGGGTGATACTATTAATCTTATAAGCCTATCTATTATTTGGGTAAAAGGCAACCTCCCACAGTGGCTTCAGTTCCAAGTGAAAAGGGTATCTTACAGTGATAGTCTCAGGGGTTCCTCTAGTCTCTATTGGTCCAGTGAGTCTGGCCTTTTTTAGGAATTTGAGTTTTGTTCTACATTTTTCTCCCATTCTATGCAGGACCTTCTAGTGTGTCCCTGGTCAGAACAGTCAGTAGTGGTAGCCCGGCACCATCTAGTTTCTCTGGTCTCAGGCTAATGAGGCTGTGGTTCATGTGGGCTATGTACTCGTTTGTTGGCTAACTACTAAGGTGGGCATAAAACCATGTACTCAACTAAAATAACAGGCAATATAATCCAGTGGTTCCCAAAAAATAGTACATGATGGAGTTTTCTGTGACTAAATATGAAAAGTAATAGAATGTATATTGGTGTATACAAAAAAAAATGCATATATATATATGTTGCCCTAAATTGCCAAAGTTCATTATTCTGAGATTCTGATCACCCTAATTTCTTGGTATAAACTGAGGTTTCCTTTATACAAATGATAGTGATGATAAATGATGTTGGCATCTCATTTGTCTTTTTATTTTATTTCTGTTATTGAGAATATACATAGCAGAACACACACAAACTCAACAATTTCTACATGTACAACTCAGTGGCACTGATTACATTCTTCCAGTTGTGCAACCATTCATATCCTTCTTTTTCGAATTGCTCCTCCTTCATTAACATAAACTCAATGCTCCCTAAGTTTTCCGTCTAATCTTTGGAGTTGCTCTTGTGAATTCGATCCTATATAGACAGATCTTGAAAGAGCACAATGCTTGAGGCAGATGTTCTTTACATGTTAAGCTAAACTACTATTTGGTTTTAAGAAGACTTTAGGGGATATTTTTGGTTTAATGATTAAAGATTATCTCAGGGCAAAAATTTCAGGGGCTCATTCAGCCTCCATGACTCCAGAAAACCTAGATTCCATTAGAATTTGAAATTATGTTCTGAATTTTCCCTCTTTTGACCAGGATTCTTCTGTAGAATCTTTGATCAAATGTTCAGTAATGGTAGCCAGGCCACCATCCAGTTCTTCTGGTCTCATGGCAAAAGGGGCAATTGTATATGGACGCAATTAGCCACACATTCCATTTCATCCTATGCTTGTTTACAAGTCAATAATCTAACACCTCTCTATCAGTGTCCCAATTTTCATTGTTATTATGGTTATTCATCATCAAAAAAAACACTTCAAAAACTATCCTAAAGTACAACAATGTCAGTGACAGGATAATAACCATACGTCTACAAGGAAGACCAGTTAATACAACTATTGTTCAAATTTATGCACCAACCACTAGTGCCAAAGATGAAGAAATTGAGGATTTTTACCAACTTCAGCCTGAAATTGATCAAACATGCAATCAAGGTGCATTGATAATTATTAGTGATTGGAATGTGAAACCTGGAAACAAAGAAGAAGGATTGGTAGTTGGAAAATATGGCCTTGGTGATAGTAACAATGCCAGATACCACAAGACAGAATTCTGCAAGACCAATGACTTATTCATTGCAAATACCTTTTTTCAACAATATAAATGGCGACTATACAAGCAGACATCACTAGATGGAATACACAGGAATCAAATCGACTATATCTGTGGAAAGAGATGATGGAGAAGCTCAATATCATCAGTTAGAACAAGGCCAGGGCCTACGAAGGGGACAGACCATCAATTGCTAATATGCAAGTTCAAGTTAAAGCTGAAGAAAATTAAAACAAACTCACAAAAGCCAAAGTATAACCCTGGGTATATCCCACCTGAATTTAGAGACCGTCTCAAGAACAGATCTGATGCACTGAACAATAATAATCGAAGACTGGACGAGTTGTGGGATGACATCAAGGACAACATACATGAAGAAAGCAAAACGTCACTAAAAGGACAGGAAAGAAAGAAAAACCCAAAATGGATGTCAAAATAGGCTCTGAAACTTGCTCTTGAACGTAGAGTGGCTAACCAAACTGAACAAAACCAGATGCTGTCAAGTCAAATTCAACTCATAGCGACCCTACAGGACAGAGCAGAACTGCCCCACAGGGTTTCCAAGGAGCGACTGGTGGATTCAAACTGCTGACCTTTCGGTTAGCAGCAAAGCTCTTAACCACTGTGCCACCAGGGCTCCAGAGTAGCTAAAGCAAAAGGAAAAAAATGATGAAATAAAAGAGCTGAACAGAAGATTTCAAAGGGCAGCTTGAGAAGACAAAGTAAAGTATTATAATGGAATGTGCAAACACTTGGAGTTAGAAAACCAAAAGGGAAGAACATGCTTGGCACTGCTCAAGCTGAAACAACTGAGGAAAACAAAAAATTCAAGTTTCAAGTTGCAATACTGAAGGATTCTATAGGCAGAATGTAGAATGATGCAGGACGCATCAAAAGAAGATAGAAAGAATACAGAGAGTCACCATACCAAAAAGGACTGGCTGATATTCAGCCATTTCAGGAGGTAGCATATGATCCAAGAACTGATGGTACTAAAGGAAGAAGTCCAAGCCATACTGAAGGCATTGGCAAAAAACAAGGCTCCAGGAACTGACCAAATACCAACTGAGATGCTTCAGCGAACAGATGCAATGCTAGAAACGCTCACTCATCTATGCCAAGGAATTTAGAAGACAGCTACCTGGCCAACTGACTGGAAGAGATCCATATACATGCCCATTCTAAAGAAAGGTAATCCAAAGGAATGCGGAAATTATCGAAAAATATCATTAATATCACACACAAGTAAAAACCAGTTTCAGCAGTACATCGATAGGAAACTGCCAGAAAATCAAGCCGAATTCAGAAGAGGATGCGGAACAAGGAATATCTCTGCTGATGTCAGATGGGATCTCAGCTGAAATTAGAGAATGCCAGAAAGATGTTTACCTGTGTTTAATTCACTATGCAAAGGCATTAGACTGCGTGGATCATAATAAATTATGGATAACACTGAAAAGAACAGGAATTCCAGAGCACTTAATTGTGCTCATGCACAACCTGTACACAGACTAAGAGGCAGCTGTTCCAACAGAACAAGGGGATTCTGCATGGTTTAAAATCAGGAAAGGTGGGTGTCAGGGCTGTATCCTTTCACCATTCATATTCAATTTGTATGCTGAGCATATAATCCAAGAAGCTGGACTATATGAAGGAGAAAAGAGTCATCAGGACTGGAGGAAGATTAATTAACAACTTGCAATATGCAGATGACATAACTTTGCTTGCTGAAAGCAAAGAGGAGTTGGAGCACTACTTACTGATGAAGATCAAGGACTACAGCCTTCAGTATGGATTACACCTCAACATAAAGAAAACAAAAATCCTCACAACTGGACCAATAAGCAACATCATGATAAACGGATAAAATACTGAAGCTGTCAAGGATGTCATTTTTACTTGGATCCATAATCAATGCCCACGGATGCAGTAGTCAAGAAATCAAACGACATACTGCATTGGGCAAACGTTCTGCAAAAGACCTCTTTGAAGTGTTCAAAAGCAAAGACGTCACTTTGAGGACTAAGGTGTGCCTGACCCAAGACATGGTATTTTCAATCACCTCATCTGCATGTGAAAGCTGGACAATTAATAAGGAAGACCAAAGAAGAACTGACGCCTTTGAATTACAGTGTTGGCGAAGAATACTGAATATACCATGCACTGCCAGAGAAATGAACAAATCTGTTTTGGAAAAAATACACCTAGAATGTTCTTTAAAAGCAAAGATGGCGAGACTTCATCTTATGTACTCTGGACATGTTAGCAGGAGGGACCAATCCTGGGAGAAGGACATCATGCTTGGTAAAGTAGAGGGCCAGCAAAAAAGAGAAGACCCTCAACACAATGGACTGACAAAGTGGCTGCAACAATGGGTTCAAACATAGCAAGGACTGTGAGGATGGCAAAGGACCAGGCAGTGTTTTCCCCTGTTGTACAAAGGGTTGTCAAGTTGGAACCAACTTGATGGCATCTAACAACAACATATTACAGTCAAAGGGCTAATTTCCTTGTTATATAAAGTTATTTAAGGTGGTCATAATATTTCCTGGCAACTGCACATCATTTCCCTAATCTTCTCACTCTGAGATGATTATTTCATATCTTCACCTTTCCAGTCACACTTGCAATGTTTCCTTGTCCAGCCTCACTCAAAGCTAATGAGGCTGGCCTCACTGAGAAAACAGAAGCAATCAGAAGAGAATTTCCACATGTTTTCATCATGTCTACCCATCTACCAGCTTCTGAACCTTTCTTTTACTTTCTGTGAATGAAAGAAATACCTTCTCACTACTCCTTGAACATGCAAGGTATACTTCCACCTCAGGCCTTTATCTTTGCTGTTCCCTCTGCCTGCAGCGCTCTTCCTCTAGATATCCTTCATGGCTTGCTCCCTTCACCTTCATGTTTTGCTCAAGTATTACTTTCTCAGTGAGGCCTTCCCTGACCACCCAAGTTAAACTGTACCTCCCCTTCCATGCTTTGCTTTTCACTGCAGTACGTATCACTTACTAACTTACCATGTAATTTGCTTACTTCATTTATGTCTCTCTTCACAATAGAATAAGTTCATAAGCACAGAGATTTTTGTCTATTTTGTTCATTATTCACTGATACATTTCCAATACCTAGAATAGTGCCTAGCACATGGTAGACATGCAAATACTTAATAAATGAGTAAATTAATAAATTGATATAAAGAGTTCCAAAACCTGATAAGAACTGAACACATAATAGAAAAATGGGCAAATAATATGATCACATAGTTCGAGGAAAATTAAATATAAATGGCTCTTAAACAGGTGAAAAGATGTTCACCCTCACAGATAATAAAAAATTTAAAGTTAAAATGAGGTTATCATTTTTTTCACCTATTAAATTGGCAAAAATATTAGAATTTATTAACAAATTCTGTGGGTGAGGCTTTAGCAAAATAGGTATACATATACATTGTTGGTGGGAATATAAACAGGTATAGCCTCTTTGGAGGGCACTTGGCTCTATAGATCAAAATTACAAATACATACAACCTTGACCCAGGAATCCTCAGAATTTATCCCACAGATACACCTGCACACATATGAAATGACTTATAACAAAGTTTTTACTGTAAAATGTTTGCAATAGTAAAGACTGGAAACATCTAAGTGCCCATCAATAGGGGACTGGTTAAGAAGTTGGGGGTACATATATACTGTACATTACTTGCAACTGCAGAAAAGAATGAGGAAGCTCTCTTTGTATTTATACTGGAAGGATCCAACATATACTACTAAGTGAAATAAGTCAAGTATGGAGCAAGGTGAATAGCATGCTTAGTTTTGTATATAAAGGAAGTAAAAGTATGCTAGTATTTTCTTGTATCAGCATAGAGAAACTCTGGAATGATACAACACAAATGAAACTGACAATGTAGCTTCTCTGGGAGACAGATGGATCCTAGGTACATGGGGAACAGGGTATATGTGACACTGCATTATATACTTTTTAGATTTTTGGACAATGTGGATATATGACCTACTCAAATAATTATATTAAAAAATCAGGTTGAACTACAAAAAGAGAGAAACAAAGAGTAGGGAGCTGCTATGCAAATTAATGATGCAATTAGGCTTTTAAGAGGAACACATAAATTACTTAAAGCAACGTTTATGTTTAAATGAATATACTGTCACAAAAATACACCTAACAGTAAAGCTAATCCCCTGAAGACCTTCTGTAGGTATCATTCTATAGGCCTATTGTGAATTACTCGAAGTATTTAAAAGTGATAACATGATGCCTGTTTGAAAATATTTTAGAAGTCATATTTCCTACTAACTTCTCAGATTGGCCCATGTCTCGATTAGTTCAAATGGTGGTTCTCATGTGTGGTAAATTCTGTTGCACACAAATCTCATAGTCTATGAATATTACAGTGTGGGTGTTACAAGTATGAAGAATGCATTCAATAGTGTGATTTTTCCTCCCCTACAATATATCAAAGGAAATATCAAAAATCCAACTTCTTTAAATTATTTAAGCAAATGCTTCCAATGGGGGGGGGGACATCAAATATTACAGCAATCAATGCTTTTCAGTCATATAAGTTAGGTTATTAAAAACAAGTCTTACCTTACTTCAGCTGGTAGACTTGGGGAATAGGGATTTGCAGAACAAGCCAGAATTCTAATGACTGCTCCAGGATGATAGGTTTCCAGAACATGAACAGCTGTAGGATACACCTGTTGTTCAAAAGTAAGTTCCACATAGTCCTGGCTCTGAAAATTAGGTGGCGTCCTCTTGAATGGCAAGGAAGCACTAGGACACTGATCCCACCATGTTCCATAAGTTCGAAACACAGCTGTCTGAGTAAAGTCACCAGAACTTGGGAATACATTTGGTACACCTGCCAGATTCCACATGGTATAGGACATACTATTCTCACTTCCATAATGGGAACTGAAATCCACTACTTCTTTGGCATACTGGATCACCTCTGCATTGAGAGGGGAAGTCCGGCTGTTTGATTCTATAGTTCTATGGCTGTTCATCACTTCTCCTCTTGTAGCTGTCCTGGCTCGGCGCCGAAGGCATATATAATAAAACATAGTCAGAACTGTTAACATAGGAAATACTGGTGACATCTAGATGTGAATTATGAAGCTTCAAAAGGTCAGGTGTCCTCAGTAAGATGCATGAACTCTCTGAAGGAAGTTCTAAAAAAATAAATGGCTTGGTGAAGTAAAATAATTTAAATAAGCAGAAAAATGCATGGATAAGGTAAATAACAGACTTTTTCCCCAATGTAATTTCCCGGAATGAAACTCTGAAAAAACAAGTTTTAAATTGAAAATGTGAATCTCTGGTATAAAGAATTTATCCAAGGTACTTCTAAAAAAACCTAAATATTGTCAATGTATATAATTTTATGCCATATAAGAAACAAAGCTGGTATTTAAGTCAATGGAAGATGTATGATCCAAAAAGATCTATTTCATAGAAAATTATACCCATCATTCAATAACCGAAATTTTTGAACTTTTAAAATTATTTAGAATACATAGTGAACCACTAAAATGCTGCTGTAAATTCAGAAGAATCTCAGGCATTGCTGTAATTTCACATTTTCACAAATGATTCTCTATTGTTCATTATTATTTTCTTCCAAATATGCTAAGTATAGATTGCGTAACATGGGAATATAGTTTTCTGGAGTTGACAGTTAATCCAGACCAATTAAATTAACTGCCTTACACATCACAGATCACCAGACAGTGTTTAATTTATAACTCTTAGCATTATTTGTTAGGGCAGTCCACAGCTGGCTGGCATCTGGTCTGTTGCCAGCTACTCTTAGAAATCACTCACCCCAGATAGAATGGTCACAGGATCCACAGAGGAAAGGCAAAAGTTGGCACTTGTCCATGTAGACTGAAATCTGCATGCTGATTTCAGGTACAAATGCTGAAATGTGACATTTTCTTACCTGTAAGATAAGAGTTTCAGAATATATTTTTACTTCCAACTTAAGAAGTCAAATACACCAAAAAGATTATTATAGTCATTTATTAGACAGCATTCAAATTGAGCAGGTCACATTTTTCTGAGTCTTGTGGACAATTCTGGATAATTAACATATTTTTTTAAATTTAGCATAAAATAATGAATCCTTTTTATATAAGGGTTGCAAACCCATAGCTTATGCATCAAACTATGTCTGTAGACATATTTTATTGGTATCAAACAGCTTTGTAAAATTTGAATTAGTTTGTAACCTTTAACGATTAAGAGGAACCCATGCAAAAAGGCTTGCCTGAGCTCTCCCAGCAGCTGCAGTTGTTCCCAGCCAACCCCACTAGCTTATAATCAGGCTTGGCCACTGTCCACATTGAACAGGTGACCTCTTGTCTATATAAACAAGAAATCAAGCATCCTTATTTTTGTACCTGTGAAGTCTTGAGTTTAACTACTCCTCAGTAAAAGAAGGGGAATGTATTAACTTTTATTTAATAAAGAAATATGTGAGCCTTCCAAAACTTTAGAATTAAGATTGTAAAACATTACTTACATTAAATGTCTTTCCCATTCAAAACTCTCCAATGGCTTTTTCTAATCTACAAAATATAATCTAAACTCCTTGGCTTGGCATTTCAAGGCTCTTCTCAAACTAGATCCATCTCTTCTCTAACAGTCAACCCAGTCAAGTCCTAATCATCTTTCATATTTTACTTTAAGTCTCATTTCCTCTGTCATTCCTTTCCAACTACTTTATCCCATATAAGTACACTTTTTCTGACTAATAAAAGCCTTACTCTCTGGCACCTACTAGCATTGCATTTGTATCACACGTATGTCCTAGCTCCACAAGGGTCTAGATTAGGAGTGAGTTTCTTAAAGGCGGGAATCTTGGCAAACATTTTTTATTTTTTACAGTACTCAGTATACATGTAAAAAAGAAACCCACTGCCGTTGAGTCGATTCCGAGTCATAGCAACCCTACAGGACAGAGCAGAACTACCCCATACAGTTTCCAAGGAGCATCTGGTGGAATCGAATTGTTGACCTTTTGGTTAGCAGCCATAGCTCTTAACCACTAAGCCGATAAAATGTTTGGCATGTTGCTAGAATGGAGATAAACAACCAAAAAATTTTTATAAAAATATAGAAACATTTAAAATTACATAACAAAATCCCTCCACCTCTCCACCCCGGCCAAATTCAAACACAATGAAATGCTTAATAAAATATAACAAGTGAAACAGTAAAGAGCTGAGCTTGAAATACACAAGGAAAATCCACATCTGTGAGAAACAAATAGGAACATCAAACAGAAGCTAACTTGACTCAGGGAACCAGTTATGGGCCTTAACGTTTAGGAGGAGACTTTCTACCACCCAAGCAGAGATTATTTCAAGCCATGGGTCACATCTGGAAGGATCTTCACAAAGCCAAGACTTGAGAGCTTATCTACAAAACCAGGACTACGAAAACTAAGCTCACTGGCCAGGAAGCTCGAGAAGGCATGACATCAACTGAGGCAATGGAGCGAAAGTCACTAGAGGGAAATTCGAACCCTGTTAGGCATTGTCTTAGTTATCTAGTGCTGCTACAACAGAAATACCTCAAGTGAGTGGCTTTAACAAACATATTTATTCTTTCATAGTTTAAGAGGCTACAAGTCCAAATTCAGGGCGTCAGCTCTAGGGGAAGGTTCTTGTCATCAATCTTCCCCTGGTCTAGGAGCTTCTCAGTGCAGGGACCCTGGGTTCAAAGAACATGCTCCACTCTGGCTCTTCTTGCTTGGTGGTAATGAGGTCCCTCTCCTCTCTGTTTGCTTCTCTCTTTTATATCTCAAAAGAGATGGACTCAAGATACAATCTAATCCTGTAGAATACATCATGTCTCATTAATATCAGAGAGATGAGAATTTACAACACACAGGATAAATCATATATCAGATCAAAAAATGAAGGACAACCACCCAACAGCGGGAATCATGGCCTAGCCAAATTGACAAACATTTTAGAGTTGACAAACACAATTCAATCCATAACAGGCACATATCATGCATATAGTATGGACCTAAATTCACATTTCCTTCATGAATTAGGATCACTTCCCCCACCACCAGCAAGCCAAAAAAATATAGTTTTAAGTAGTCCCAAACTGGTAAAACTTGAAGGTGTGATAGGGACAAATGTAGAACCTCTGTGCAGGGATGCTTCCATAACCCAGAACAGACCAAACCCTCACGGAAGATGCATTACAGTAAAACAAAAAAAAACACAGAACACAAGAGAAAATGAACCATGTTGAAGGACAGTCAGTAAAGTCACCAGATGGAGGAATTTGTACCCCAAGAACCAGCAATAATAGAACAATCTGAACAAGACATTTTCCGGAGAAGGGTAACAAAGCATTTACTAAAGTAAGTAAGATTTTTCTGTAGCACATACTCCTAGTGCTGATTCATCTCAGGACATGTAACACCAAGTGCTGAAGTACAGGTCATGTTATAAATGTGAAGAAAAACAATTATCTAGTCATATCACTTCTTTATTCAAACATTTCACCTACCACAAGTATAAACCTGTCAAAAAAAATTTTACAACTACAAAAAATCTCTAATCCTTATCACCAAAATTTGAGATACAGCTTTTTCTTTTACAATATATACTTTATTTCAAAATAGCCTCTCTATAAATTTAAAACGGTCCTTTTCTTTCTTAAAAGAAAAAGAACTAATGAAATACAGTAGCTCCCACTCATCCGTGGTTTCAGTTACCCCTGGTCACCCCAGTGTGAAAATGTTAAATGAGTAGCGTGAAGAAATCTCTTGCCATCCCACTCCATCCAGCCTGGAGACCACATTCACGTAACTTTTATTACTGTATGTTGTCATAATTGTTCTATTTTATTATTAGTTACTGTTGTCAATCTCTTACTGTACCTAATTTATAAATTAAACTTTATCATAGGTATGTATGTATAGGACAAATAGTATATATAGGGTTCAGTATTATTCGTGCTTTCAGGCATCCACGGGGGTCTTGGAATGTACCCCCCACGGATGAAGGGGGACTGTTGCAGAGTTAAACTATAAAAGTAAAATTTAGGAAATTAAAAACAACTTATAACAAGTACCCAACTTAACTGACAGATCAGCTAATTTGGAAGACTAGATGTTGTATCCCTGGGGATCGCCACAGGAAAGACAGAAAACTGTTTGCTGAGACGATGGTTAAGTTTCACTGTAGAATCTTTGGACATCACTTCTCACTCTACAATCTATGAAATGCTTCAGCTAAGCTCCTTCCACATTCTTTCTAAAACTGTATTAATAGGAGAGTAAAGCAGTTTTATAAAACCAAGGAAACGTCTACAAAATGAGATATTATCACTCCTGTGAGTTTCACAATCATTTTTGGCGAAAAGATTGAGACAAATTGTGAAAATCAAATTCCATTTGACATACCAAGCCTCAAGCTTTATAACTATTTACCAGCTAGTTTTTACTATTGTGGGTTATCAGGTAATATCAAACACATTAAGACTGCATATGGGTCACATTATTTTTAAGTTGTTTTAAAGTTAAATAAAAATTTTTAAAGTAAAATTTTACATTGAGGCAACATATGTGAGTTATAAATTGTAAATAAATGTATATATATATTATATGTTCACACTTCTTTAGCACAGAAGAGAAATGCAAAATGGAAGCTTTGTTTTTTCCAACTACGGATAAGACTAAGTTTGAAAGTTAATTTTCTGTGAGATAAAGCTAAAAATGATAAAAGAAATTTTTGAAAGAAAAGCAGTGTAAGAATAAACATATTTATTCTTTTCCCTACAGTGTATTCGAAAAATATAACAGAAGCTAAAACCTGTTTTTAAAAATAAGGCATAGAAATTAAAAAGGGAAATGTGTAAACCTATTGTTAACACCCTTCATTGATTCTAAACTCCTTCACAATCTACTAAGATGACACATAGAAGTGTTTTGGGGGTGGAAAAGAGCATATGGGGAAGAAAGGATAGCTCCCTCTACTTTTCCCTGGGAAATGAAGCTGAAAGGGGGAGTAGCGCCAATGCCTCAGGATTCATGTGGGCAGCAACAACCAATGTAGAAGTCCAAATTATCCATGTATGTACTCTCTGGACTTTTGCCAAAGCATGTAGGCAATTTGGGATAACCAATGAATATCCCAATGGGCAATAAACAAAATGTAAAAGATACAATAACTCTATTTTATTAGGAGAATGAGAATCAAAGACAAAATGATTTCTGTCCCACTTGACCCAAATAAATATTAGTCTAGGACATCAAATTTGTCCAAGGGAATGATTATAAAATAAACCTTTCAGGAGGCACTCACTTTCTCTTCCAGTTCATTCAAAAAGCTACTTTAATTTTAAATACTCACATTTTTTAAAAAAACAAAAAATATTATTTTCCAACTAACAGTCAAAATTAGAAATAGGGTGGTCTTTATTAGTTGCTTACCCAATCAACAACCAACAATGATTAAGGGGTGAGAAAGTCTCACAACATACTGAACTTTTATACTAGCATAGTCAAGGAACACAAAACAACAGCCCTTTTAATTTGTATCATGAGACTTTCACACTCCTTGGGAAGCAACTTGCTTCATACAACATGATTTTATCATAATACAACTTTATTTTCAACCACATCTTTCATATTATAAAATGCTTAACAAAGTTAAATAATACAATTACAGAGAAAGCTACAACAGTGGAAAAGAGAAATTAAGAGGTATAGACAAGGGAGAACATATGTTTACTACTGAGATTTGAAGTGAGATGGGGAGTCGATGAGGCGGACAGAAGCAGGATGGCAGGAACTGCAGAGAAGACGGCTTGTGCTTGGGCAGAGGTAAGGGGAGGATGGAAAAGGAGGATTCTTTGTGAAATAAACAAAAGGAGGCAATGAGAATGAATTAGAGCCAGGACAAGGGAAAGGCT